CGTCTCTGCTGCTCAGCTGGCTCCTGGGCTTGGCTTCCGCTGCGCCCAGGGCCCCGAGGCCTTCGGGGACTCTCTCATTCCTGCTTCCTTCCCTCTCAGACCCACAGGGGCTGTCCTAGGCCGACTGCTGAGACCCCAAGAATCTTCTGGGTCCTCCCATGCCGAGTAGATGGGGTTAGCTCCCCAGCCTGCATGGCGTTCCCTCCATGCAGTGCCCCAGCTCTCCTTTCGGGTGGATCCTCTCTCTCACCCTGCTCTCCCCCAGCTCACCAAACCACCCTCTCCTCATTCAGGAAATCTTTTTTCTGGGCTTCAGGCTGGGGCACTTTTCTCCTACATAGATTTTCAAATAAACCCACAAAACTGTTTTATTAAAAGTCTTCTCTTTCCCCACAGATACCATGAAACTCAAAGTGCAGGAAAAAACTTTGTTTCCATACTGGACCCTCCTTCCCAGGGTAATGAAAGAACACCCAGCAGGCCGCCAGGGCAGAAATCGCAGCATCAGAAACACCTAGTCCTCAACGGCAGTACAGTAGTGCTCACTGAGCACTTATGACGAACCAGACAGTGCTGTAAGAAGTTTGCAATTTAATCCATTTCCCAGATAAGGTAAGTGAAACCCTGAGAGGTTAGTTAACAGATGTCGGGTGGCCACAGCCCACCTTGGGTGGACGGAGGAGGAAACCTTCGCTGCAAAATAGGTCTCTGTGAGCAGGCTTCCCAGAGACCTGGAAGGGCAGCAGACTACATGTGGTGGGATACTTGAGGGGCAGCAGGTTTAGAGCTTCCAGTCAGGTCCTAGGGCCTGAGAAGGGCTCGCAGCCTCTGGGAGGCACTGGCTCAGCAGCCTTCTAGCCCTTCCAGTCCCAGACGCCACCTCCTGAAACAACATGGCCCCAGACAGTTCTGAGATGGGCCTGCAGATAAGGCTGCTTGCTTTGCCACAGTCAAGGAAATAGGTGGATATGTCTTCTGAATGTTCAGGGTATAGAGCAAATGGATGGAAATGTGGGTTGGGAAAGTTGTGGTGCATTTACCAAGGGCAGGTCTGAGTAAATATTCACTCCAGACAGGCAAAGAGACTTGGAAGAAACTGGTCACTTGCTTTTACACCCCCAGGCCTCTGCCCATGCTGTCCCAGCCTGAACTCTCTTCCCCCACCTCTTCTACCACCTGACTCATTCTACTCCAGATCTTTGATTAAATGTGGCTTCCTCCAGGAAGCCTTCCAAGCCTCAGTCGGAGCAGGGTTGGGGTTTGTGTCAGTTTCACCTACGTTTGTGCCGGCCATATTTGGTTCCAGATTTGAAAGGACACCAGGTCACTGCCCTGGAAACCTGCAGGAGCTGGGCTGTGGCAAGAGGGCTCACATCCCAGCCCAGTGACTCCCCAAAGCACCCCCCTCAATGCCTTCCCACCTGGGTGTCTTCAGCCATGCAGCTCACCTGCCTTTCCTCTGGGGGTCAGACAGTGGTAACTTTTCTCTTGTCCTTTTCCGGTGCTGCCACTTACAACTCAGGGACCTTGAGAAAGTCACTTGACCTCTCTGTGTCTTGGCTCCCTCACTTAGAAAACAGCACCTACCTCATAGGGACATTGTGAACATGAAAACAGACCTTAAAGCAAATAGCCCACTATTGCTGCTGCCGCCGCCACCACCAGCACCACCACCACCGTCATCTCTGGATTCCCCACCTGTCACAGTGTGCTGGTGACTACAGTCCACGGGTGACAACACACCTCCCTGGTGCCCTCCAGGGGCAACTCTAAAGTTCTGTGTCTGTCTAAGCTTAACTCTTAACTCAGGAGCTTAAAGGTTGAAGGGACACCTCCCCTCCCTGCTAATTTTTAAATCCAGCTTGGTTTAAATCAGAAGAAAACCCATTGTCCACAGCAGCCATGCGCTGTGCCTTCCCCTGGGGGTCAGCATATGCTGGCTCCTTAAACATTCAAACCGCAATGACAGCGTCACCTCTTCAGACAGCCCTTGAGGCCCCCTACTTACTCAATACTGAACCCCTCCTCTAGGCAGAGGCCCCATTCTAAGCAGTAGAGATCTGCTGTGAGCAACACAGACAAAAATCCTTTCCCTTGTGGGGCTAACTTTCTAGTGAGGGAGATAGAGATGTAACGAAATACAGTCATCCCTCACTGTACGGTGGGGTTTTTTTTAAATATATCTAACTCTGTATCACGGAGTTTTCACTGTATCATGGGATTTTGCGATATATAGGTATTTATATAATATTTATGATTTTAATTATTTTTGCCTAAAAATGTAAAAAAATATAAAAATATTAAAAAATGTTAATTCAAACATATTAAAAGGATATTAAATCAAGATAAAATAGAGCATGTATTTCATCAGCAGATGAAATACCATACTGTATACAATGGAAATGCAGTATGCCAACTACCACTTGCGCAAGTTTGCCAACATGAGATTGTATACAGCACACTATTGGCTGATGGAATGGAAAGCGACCAGCCATGGCACTGTGTTCTGTACCCTGGGCACTGATTGGCTCAGTGACCGCAGCATCAGTCTGTTTGCTCTCCCACACTGTGCCCATACGTTCAGCATCTGTCCTTGTCCACTTCACATCGAGGTCAGGTCATTGTGTGTAGTGCTGCTCTGTGTTGTGTTTTTGTGAAATTTTCGTAAAAGTTTGAATTTATTTCAAGCCCTACGATGCCACCCAAACGTTCTGCGCCTTCTAAGGCTTCTGGCAGTGAACCCAAGCGCCAGAGGAATATGCTTACCAAAGAAAAGGTGGAACTTCTCAACATGTTAAAAGAAGGCAAAAGCTACGTGGTTGTAGGCTGCCATTACAGGATCAATGAATCTACTGTTCACTACATAAAGATGAGAAGAATATTAGGTCTATGGCAACAATGACTTTTAACAAGACTGCAAAGAGGGTGGTCACTTCCTGCAATAAGGCCATTGTGAGGATGGAGTCTGCATGAGCCCTGTGGATAAATGTCTGCAGGAAGAAGAATATCTCGCTGAATACCAACACCATCTGGACGAAGGCCAAGAAACTTTATGACAGTTTTGCGGAAAGCACAGACGTTCATGGTGGTGATGAGGATGAAGACCAGGATGACGACACAGAAGCAGGACCCATTGAGTGCTTCTCCCACCAGACCAACCCCATTCAGTGCCAGCAAGGGCTGGTTTGACAAATTTCAGAGATGCTTTGAACTCAAGAGCATTCCTCTGCATGGAGAAGCTGCCTCTGCAGATAAAAAGCAGCACCAGCAACTCCCCATAACTATGTTCATCACTCGGACGAAGAGATCAGTTATACCTACACCTTTAGTGGAAATAAAAGTTACGGCCCAGGGTGAAGACACTGCACCACCCGATGAAGCACCTGATGAAGTAGTGCCTTCAGAAGAGCTGTAATGCTCTTCTTGGCTGTGTAGTACATTCATCTCATCTTCATCACCTTCATCACCATCAGTACTGCACAGCTACATAATTCATGATCTTCAATATTCAAGTTGTAGTATACCTCACTGGTGAGTGCCCATATAGAATTTTATATGTTGTTAAAATTACGTAGGTTTAAGAGTGTAGAAAATGTTTAAGAGCATATGAAGTGTTTATAAGAGAGTGGGAAAGGTTTATAGGAGTATGGGAAGGGTTTATAAAGTCTTAAAATATGTATAAATAATAAAATAAATATAATGCCGCTACTTTGAGGATTTTCACCTATCTCGGGGGTCTCTGGAATGTAACTCCCCAGATAGGTGAGGGATCACTGTACACAAGTATTCTGTAGAGTCTATCTGGTAGTTTCAAGTGCTGAGAAGTAAAATAAATCAGGAAAGGGGAGAGGAGCTGTGTGGGCATGTGAGGTGGAGCAGAGGGATCAGAGCGAGGCCTCACTGAGGGGATAACCTGTGAATAAAGACTAGAAGGAGGCACAGGAAGGAGCAATGGAGACATCAGGAGAAAAGCATTCCAACCAGAGGGAACAACAAGTACAAAGGCCCTGGGGCAGGACCGTGGCCTCTGTGAGGTGGGGAGTATCTAGCCGCATCCCCAGCAACTAGAGTGCTACTTGGTATACAATAGTGCTCAATGAACATGGCAGGATGGAGGAAAAGCCCAGAGGCAGGCTTTATTCGCAAACAGCTTTTCCCCTTGTCACCCAAGATAGTGACTGAGCTTTAAATCCCACTTAGGAGCAAGAGCCTCTCTAAGCATTCCCAGCAAGAGCCCCAAACAGCTGCTTGGCTGAATGGACACAGGTCCATTCCCCAGCCAGTCCCTGAAGCCAGTGGATGGGGTGGAGGAATGGCTTAGGACCAGGTGACTTGTCTCACCACACCACACTGAGAAGCCCAGAGAAGTCAGAGATAATGGCTGAAAGGAGGAGGAAAGAATGCTGGGCAGGCAAAAAGCCAAAGTCTGACAGGATAATCCTAACAGCTAAGATTCATTGTTCCATTGGCAGGAAGCACCACTACGCGTGGCCTGAGCTAAGGTGCACTTAATGCTCACAAGAGCCCCACAGAGGAGGCTAGCCCCATTTTACAGGGATAGAAATTGAGGCTTGAGGTTTCATAGCTAGTAAGTGGCAAAGCTTGGGATCTCCTGGCTCAAAGGGAACCCAGAGCCTCCCCAGACCTGGACTCTGCAGTCCCTTGCATCAAGCCAGGACAGGCTACTGGACCAACCACTGAACTGAAGGTGGAAGCCCTTAGTTGAAAGCAAATTGAGAAAGCAAAGGGGCCACTTCTTTGATGGAGAAAGGGGGAAATGGAGACAGCCCAAGGCAGGCTACCATGGGCCTGCAGATAACAGGAGACTGCTGGCAGAGGCTAGAGGTGGCGGACCCCAACTTGTTCCTCAGGTGGAAGCCTGAGGTAGGGCCAACCAGAGGGTGGGCTGACCCTCAGGGGGTCCCAAGAGGTCAGGATAAGGAGGGGGTAAGGGTAGGGGTACAACCTGTCAGGGGCCCATGGAAAACTCTGGTACTTACGGTGTGCCTGCTGTATACCCAAGCCCTGGCAGACGCATTTCATCCCAAGCTGAGGAGGACACCAGCAAGCTGCCGTCAGGAAGGCTGCCCTGCCCACTCTCTCTCCGTGGTGTGCAGCACCCAGCCCAGGACAGTGTGGGGCATACAACGAGTGCTCGGCCTATGTTTGCTGCTGAATGAGCCACCTGATGGCCCTGACAGGAGGTCAATCCCTACCCCCATTGCCAAGACAAGCAAACTAAGGCCCGGAGAAACTGAGGGCAGGAGTCCAGTGGGGCCCAGCTTCCCAGGGGCCATGCCTGGGAAATGCCTGAAGTTGTAAGGTCCGGGTCAGTCAGATGTCAGGTGGAACTGGCCATGCTCCAGTCACCACCTCTCCCTCTTGGGGCACCTGCCCTGGACAGGAACCCAGACCTGTGGGCAGCTGCTCCCTCAACGCATTTGCTCTTTCCCTCTCTGGCCTCAGATTCCTCATCAATGAAGGGGTCAGATCACAGAGGCCAAGGTCAGGCCCATACAGGTCAACATCCAGCAGAGCACTCTAGGAGGCCAGGTGGGTCGAGCTGGACTGGCTGCCAGGGTGTGTGTGTAGCCCAGGAAGGTGCCCAATAAACGCTCACCTGGGTGGGGACCAGTGCTCAGTAAATAACAGCTGTTCCGATGCTGAGTGGGGAGAACACTCTCCTCTCCCTGCCCCTCCGGCCTTCACCCAGTGCCTCCCCAGGTATTTCCCTCCCCTGCCATTGCTCCTACCCCATCTCCTTCCAATTCTTCCCCCCACCACTCCATTCCCTTCTTCCTCCATTTTCTTCTCACCCCATTGTTCTTTCTACTCTCCCTCCCTTGCACCCAAATCTTCCTTCCTCTTCCCCACCCTCCTACTTCATTCTTCCCCAGCCCTGCCCCTCTCCAACACCATTATCCCAGCGCCCTTCCTTTCCTATCTTCACCCTCCACCTTACTACACCCCTGTGCCTCCCCACCTGATTCCCTCGCTCCATAGCCACCCAACTCTCCCTCTCTCCACCCCCCAGCCCTTGGGCTCCTCAAGTGTGTCTTGGGCCAGTTCCCACCCCCTTGATCAGGACCATTTGCTTAGGCCACACCCCTTCATTACACACTACCTCCCTCCTCTGACCTCTGATCTCCCCAGCCCTTGCCCCTCTGGACCCCTGCCTGGGGCTATAGGAGTGTATGCCTTCCTGGGGTCAAGGCAGAGCACGGGCTGGGGGCAACTGCAACACATAGGTGGCAGAGAAGGTCCTCCCCAGCTGCTGCCCTGACAGCCCTCAGGACCCTCTCCTGACCCCTCTGCTGACCCTGCTGCCCTCCCGTGTTCTAGGGGGCTACTGCTGCCTGAGCACAACAATGTCCCTGGCCCCTGCAGCACCCGATACCAACAGCAGGGCCCCAACCTTGGAACGCAGAGACCTGGCTGGCCCCGCAAGAGCTTCAGCCAGCCCACTGCCATCTCAGAAACCTGCCAGGGCCATGCCTGACTCCAGCACCTTTGGTTGCCTCATGTATTTTTGTATTGTCTAGGTATTTGCCGTTCAGCTAACACCTGCTTGATGGATGACTGAATCAATGAATCAATGCTTTACTAAAGAAACCCAGTGTTTGTCAGTTTTGTCTTCATGCGAATGCCCTGAGTCTCCGTGCTAGTCATGGTGCCACACCACCACAAGCACCCTGTGGTGGAACACTTTGTCTTGGCCCACCCAAGGTGCCAAGAGTGTAAATGTTCATGCAGTACACCTCACAGCCAGACCCGGGTGCCTCTCCGGGGTGTGCGTGGAGGTGCGTCGCCTCGGCTCCAAGTCCAGGGGGCTGGCCCAACCCTACCTAATCACAGCTCAGCTGTTTCTGCTTTCCTGAGTATTTTTTGGAGTTCTTTTCTTGAGACTTGTTCCACCAGGCCTTTCCATTCATTATAAAAATGTTATATGTCATGTTTGCCGGAGGATATCTGAAACAAAACACAAAAACCACGTTGCACAAGTGTGCCTACAGGAATTCCTGCTGTGCACTGGCTGAGGGGTGAGGATTCCCCTTCCCTCTGCCTCTGGGAAGCTCCTCCCTCAGCTCCCTCCCAGCTTGGGCTCCCCACAGCTTAGGTGGGTCCCTGTGGCATGTAGCCATACTCTCCGCCTCTTCTTCTGAGACCTCCAATAGGCATGGGAAGGAAGGGCGAATCTGATGGATGAGCCCACATCGGAACAGTGAAATGGGTCACACTTATTGCCAGTGCTTTCAGTCTTCTGTCTCTAACTCCCGCCCATTCAGGGTCCCTGTGGCTATCTCAGAGGAGGACGCCGGCCGTGAGGGGGTGGTTGCTGGCCTGCACAGGTTGCCAGGCCCAGGAGCCCTGGCATTTTGAAGGACATCTTTAGGGAAAGCCATGCCATACTGGTGGGGAATTTAAACACTGTAGGTTCAGAGTGAGAGAGTGAGCAGGACTGGGGATGGACACTTCACCTCTCATTCTGTACCACAGCGCCTCACTCTAGGGCCAGCTGAGCACCCAACCTAGTGTCAGACAGGACTTGAGGGGCCTGCAGGGAGCTGCTCTTCCTGTGATCAGGAATGTGTGTCCCAAGGGGTGCAGAACAAGGCACCCCACTTCTAGGTGCAGTTTTTGCACGTGCATAATCTTGTAAAGGCTTTGCTTTCTAGTGCCCTGTGCATGGTTAGATCCACTGTGCCTGAACCCTCTCATCCAGGGGGGTAATCAAAGTATTTCACAACTGATACAAACAGGCACTGACCAGTCCCAGTAGCCACTGTTGCATCAGGTATTAGCCCTCATTTGCAGGATCATGGAGAAGACTGGGCAGTCTGTGGAAGGTTCTGGGAAGGGGAGTTTACCAATACACTGAAACCAGTGCTGCTGTTCTTGTAGGCATGCTGCCTTCTCCTCCCCAGCCTTACCCCTCCCACCCTCTTACTGCACAATGTCCTTTCTACACCCATGTTTCTACTTTCTGGTCTGTCAGCCAGAGCTGTATCAGCTCCTCTTTCAGTAGCCCTCAATGGGCACAGGTGTGGCCAAACCTATGTGGCCTTTAGGGGCCAGCATGGCCCAAGTCGGGAATCCAAAAACCTGGCTGTGCACCAGAGCCTCCAAGGCAATGCCTAAAAACCTACAGTAGAGTTATCTGTACTCTCACAAAGCCTGCAAGGAGACGCTGATGAGCCACCAGCCTAAGAGCCCCTGCCTCCTCCTAAATCCAGGATGAACAGGGAGCTCTGGGCAACACTGGCACCAACACCCATGAGTTCTTGGAAGGAAGGTGGGAACTGACAGCCACTCACAACGCCTGTTTCCTCCTGGCGTGCATGGTTAGCATGAGCAGCAACACCACTGTGGTCACTAGGATTCCCGCCACCGCGCCAACAGCAATGACGATGTTCCTCTGGAGGAAGTGCAGCAGCTCCCTGCAGGGCAAAGTCCTGCTTTGAGTATCTAAATGAGAAGACATGGGCAGAGTAAGCAGAGAGCCGACCCCATACAGATCCGCAGGGACAACTGTTGGCTCCAAAAACCTCAACACCTCACGGGGAAGGAACCAGCTTTGTTTAGGAAAACGCCTTTGTAAGCTCTTTGGTGGAGGAGGCAGATACTCAGGGTGTGAGCTGGGAAGCAGCAAAGCAACCAAAGAGAAGGTTCCACAAACCACAGTTTATAGGAAGTGAGGAGAAGAGAGGAGAGCTCAGGTGGAGGGAAGAGGGGGCAGCACTAGAGGAGGCAACGAAGTCCTACTGCCATGCTTTTAAGAACAATGGAGTCAGACACTCTTTGCAGCTTTTCCCAGGACAGTAGTGCAACCCCTCCCTGCTGCCCTCCCGCTCCTCCTCTCTCAGCTTCAGGAAATTCTAACATGTGCACAGTCTGCTTCGAGTGTGTGGGTTTGGGGAAATGTTGTGACATAAGGCAAATGCCATCCTGAGATGATCCTGAGCTCTTCTGGCAGTCTGGGGACTTGCAGAAATCTTGAGAATGGCACGTGTGGGCTTGGGAGTACAAGGCAATCTTAGCTAGACCTCAAAGAAGGAGACCCCTGGTGACATTGGGAACACCATTTGTAGTATGACCAAAAAAGAGAAAGGATTCAGGGAAATAAGGCACAGAGGTACAATGACAGGAATCAGACAGCTTAGTGTGAAAGCTGGGAGCCTAGTGATGCTGATAGGAGGTGCTGGCCAAGGGCCTTTGTGGCTTATGGAGGGAAAATTGGGCTTGTTCAGCTTCCTGCTTGCATCTCCACCACACCAGGACACAGTAGCATCAGGGAACTGTAAGGGCTCTGTTGGAATGATTTAGCATTGGACATCTCAGAGTTAGGAAGGGACAACCAGGTATAGTTTTGTTAGCAGGTGGCTACATGGAGGGAGTATACTGGTCTGGGTACTAGCACGTTGTCTTGACGTGCAAGTTCCTACCCACTGAATGGGCTCAGGCTCAGGCAATGCAAAATTGGTGACCAGGGATTAGGTTCATATTTGGCACCTAGTCCTTCCTGTTTTTAGAAAGTCTCAGTCCCAGTCCTGGCAGGGCTCCCAAGATGGTGCCCATGTTGTTAGTGGCCCTGGCCGCACACACACACACACAAAAAAACGTAAAGGGAGCATCTTTTTGAAAGGGGGCTCAAATTTCTGGAATTACTTTTATTCATAATTTTAACTGCAGGTTGTATACTTTTGTGGGTGATTTAAAGGTGTGTTGACATCTAGCCCTTAAAGTGTCATAAAAGGCAAACAGACAGGTTCACGCTGCGTAGATTATTACCTGGCTTAACTACCTCTTTAAGTGTTTCTTTATCTACAGAGGTTAACTGCTTGCTTACAGCCCTGGTGAACAGAGAGGGCTCCTTATTTCTCTTCTCCTCTGACATGTGACCTACAAGAGACAAAAGGCAAAATGTATTCATCTAAAAACCACCACTGGTCCATGTTAGTTCTGGTTTTAGGATGTAAGTAACTTCCTCTCAAGTCAAAGTGAAAAGTTAGGGAGGATTTTGGAGAAGAGTCCAAAAGTACATCAAAGTTTTGTTTTTGTTTATTTTTTGATCTGACAAACTCCTTGGTGACCTCCACGTGGACTGAGGTGGCGGTTTAAACACTCAATGGTCCATCAGAACCACCAGGAGGCCTTGTCAAAGCACAGATCATTACTGCATGTCAACTGTAATTGAAAAAAATGCTTTTAATTTTCATAATTTTTTAATATCTGTGCAGATCACTGGGCCCCATCCCAGAGTGTCTGACTCAGTAGGTCTGAGGAGGCCTGAGAACGAGGCACTGACGCTGCCGGCCAGGGCCACACCTGGAGGAGCCTGGGGAGAGGCTTCCAGCCAGTCCCTGGCCTCGCTGGCCCAGGGCTCCACCAGTACGAAACAGAGATAATGCAATCTATGTCACGGGTGGCATGACATTCAGAAAAGCAATTTATAAACCACAAAGTACTATAAAAAGTGTTTCTTGAGTTGCAAACGCAGAACACGAACATAAACTAGACTGAAATACTCATTTACTGGTAGAGAGACTGCAGAATGGATTAGGAGAAAGAGACGGGCTTGAAAATCAAAAATATTTGCATGCCAACTCTGCCAATGGCTGTCTTTGGTTCATGTGCATACAAGACCTGTCAGAGAGCCTGACTGAGTTTAGTGTGGAGAAAACCAGGCAGTCAGAAAGATGTCCTTGCCTAATACAGGACTGGTCCTAGAAGGGTCCTGAGAGAATTTCTGAGACGTTTCAGAAGCAAACTAGAATCAATGTGTAGGAGCTCCAGCTGCATCTGTTTAGACCATTTACAGTTAGAAAGTAGGGCTGTCACAAGGAGAATGGGGAAGGGTGAAAAGTAATGAAGCCATGCCCTGAGGACACTCTGGGCTGGGCTGGAGCCCCCAGTCCTGGATGGGAGATCTCTGCATGCTTTGTGCCTTCAGTGAGACAATTTGGTTAAGATTGTTATGGAGGCGGGGTCGGGGGTGATGATAACAGCCTTGTGAAATCTTAGTTATTTCTCTGGAAAGAGAGAAATTTGTTCCTTATTCAACTTGGCCTGGAAAAAAACTCCCGGCTCAATATGACTCACTTTGAAATGCCAGCTTGTCAAGTCAAAGTTGAGAGGTTAACCACTGCAGACAGAAAACTCTGGATAACATGGAGTTAGTCCACAAGAGGGCTGGGTTTGCCTTACTTGTTCGTGGAGCTGTAAAAAAGGTGGACTTATAACTTGAATACAAATTGTTACTTTCCTCATCTCTGCACAACCAAAATGTAAGACACTGTCCATACTTTTCTCTAAGGTTGTACGTTTCCATTTACCTACAGTTCTTTGGAGAGTTTGAAGGATGTTTTCCACGTGTGATGGGTTGTGATTTTGATCAGTTGTTGAATTATTTTTGTGTGAAAAAAATAAGCATTATTATCAAGTTTTGCCAAATGCAGTCAATTTCCAAACTTCATTTCAACTTTAGAAAACTACTGACTGGGACAGCAGCAGCCCCTGCCACGAGCAAGCACTGTCTAGTTCCTGGGGTTTGCATGATGCAGACTTGGTCTAAATCCCCAGTCACGTGCTGGGCCTGGCACCTTTATCCCAAATGAGCCCAGAACCAAGAAATGTTGGCTTTGTGCAAGGAAAACTTGAAGTCTTACATCTTCATGACTTCTCTGTGTTCTTTTAAATAGGCTTAAGAGATGCTGACACTGGAGCAAGCCTTCAGTTCTGTGTGAACAGCAACTCATTGGTCCTTGTTAACCAAGGACGAGCATCCCTTCACAAACCTGAGCTTGCTGTTTACAGGACACTTCACTTTTCAGGAGGGTAATTCCCTCATCACTCTTCATATCCAGCCCTTTAGCCTTTTTTTTAAATGCTCACTGTTGCTAAGGAAAGAGTACAATGTGCCCTTAAAAGGGGCACATCACACGAACAAAACTGGTGTCTCCTACAGGCACCCCAAGCTCACACACTAGCGGCTTGACCTGAGAAAAGTCACTCAGCCTCGGCACCCCTGTGTGGAAGATGGGGACATAATCATAATGCTGCAACATAGGACTGCTGTGGGGATAAAACCATGCAGTTGAAAAACTCCTGTGTCTGGTACAGGGTAAGTGCTCAGTATATTTTAATGTTATCCCTATAATAGTCATTATTTAGACTCCTCAGTCCTGGCACACAGGGCCTAGTGAGTGTGCACATATGGCCATGAGGTGTCTTATGGTCATCTCAGCACAGAGACTAGGAGGCTGACTACCAGGCAGATTAGAGGTAGAAATAGCCCCAAATACAACAAGGAATTGACTAGAAAATAATGTTTGCAAAGAAAAGATGAAGGTTCTAAATTAATTATGATGTTTAAAAAAAACAGATATTTTTGTCCTGGTTCATCCTGCAGGAAACCATATGAGCTAATCTCCAAGGGTGTTGATGTACACAAGTGACTCGGGGAAAATGCAAAACTGTGCAGAACCCTGGAATCGACTCCAGCTATTCTTGCTGGATACCATTCATTGAATATTTATTGTCATTCTAAAACACCTTGTCTTGAGCAAGAGACTCCGTCTATCAAAAATCACTTCTGAAAAGTTGTGATTTCACTAGAAATCCCGGACAGGAAACAGGATAGACACACTACAGATATTTTGCTCCAAATCACATATTTTATGTTATAATTTTTCCCCTTGCTCCCGCTGTCATTCTCCTCACCTCTGAGACCGTCCCCAAGCTGTCCCTCTCTGGGAACAAACCTCTGTCGTGTTTCTGTGAGTAACACATCGTTTTCTTCCATGGGGGCTTATTGCCTCTTCCAAGAAGCTACTAGCAGGGAGAGCCCTGCCATTGTGACAGACAGACCTAGACCGAATCCTGGTCTTGCCATTTACCAAAATGAGACCTTGGGCAATTAACTCCACCTCTTGATCTCCAGATACTCGTGGATAGAATGAGAACACAATTATTTCACTCAGAACTTTTGTGAAAATTGAATAAAACAATGTGTAGGAAACTACTTAGCACAGAACCAGTGCACCAGTAGGTGAAAGGCTAAGAAGTGTTTGGAGACTGCCACTCTTCATGCGATCTATGCCAATGACCCCCAGGTCAGCTAGTGATGTCGCTTGCCTCCCGCTCTTTGGACCTGGCACAAGTGCATTAGCACGTGGATGGGGAAGAAAAAAGACAAAGCACAAAGGAAACTAAGATGTAATTATCCTAGGAAAACAGGGATATCTGCCACAGACTCTGTGGCATTCCATCCAGCCATGCTTGCCTCCTCCCATGGCTGCTTGTGCTCGGAGCCTCAGGGGCCAGCCCTTGGAGAGACGTGTCCTTTCTACCCTACCCCACAGCCCAGGCAGCCAGGGGAGGGATGTGGGACTGCAGAGGGGCTCTGAAGACTCCACTGACCCTTGAAGACTCTTGCCCCTCCAGATGGAAGAGAAAGTCGTGCTGGGGCTGCACTGCCTCAGTCCCTTTGCGAGTGGATGTGATGTCTGGAGCTGCAGAAGCCATCTAATGAGCAAGAGGCAAAGCACCAGGGAAGGCCCTGATGAACTCAGAGAGGCACACACCCTGGTCTGAAAAGTCACTGTGCACCACACCAAAACAGAGGTGGCCTTCCTCAGGCTACTTGTGCCAGAAGGAAAATAAACCACTCTCTGTTTAAGCCACTAACCTCAGGTCTTCTGGTAACTGCAGCCTAGTGCATTATTTTTTTTTTTGTAACTTCTTAAAAGTAGTTTTAGAGAAGAGGGTAGAAAGAGAGGAAGACATTGATTTGTTTTTCCATTTACTTATGCATTTATTGATTGATATTTTTATGTGTCTGGACCAGGAATCAAACCTGCAACCATTTTTTTTCAATGTTTAAAACAGTGGGTTTCCAAGGTTAAGCACACACCAAGACACATCATGCTTACATTACCCACAATTAAAGATAAGGAGAGAATCTTAAAAGCAGCAAGAGAAAAGGAGATAGTTACCTACAAAGAAGTTCCCATAACACTATCAGCTGATTTCTCAAAAGAAACCTCACAGGCAAGAAGGGGCTGGAAAGAAGTATTCCAAGTCATGAAAGGCAAGGACCTACATCCAAAATTACTCTCTCCAGCAAAGCTTTCATTTAGAATGGAAGGGAAGATAATGTGCTTCCCAGATAAGGTCAATGTAAAGGAGTTCATCATCACCGAGCCCTTATCATATGAAATGTTGAAGGGACTTATTTAAGAAAAACAAGATAAAAAACTATGAATGGTAGCCCTGGCTGGTGTAGCTCAGTGGATTGAGCATGAGCCTAGGAACTGAAGGGTCGCTGGTTCGATTCCCTGTCAGGACACATGCCTGGGTTGCAGGCCAGGTCCCCAGTTGAAGGCACGTGAGGGACAACCACACATTGATGTTTCTCTCTCTTTCTCTCTCCCTTCCCTCTCTATTTAAAAAATAAATAAATAAAATCTTTTAAAAAAATGAAAACAAACTCAAAAGTATCAACAACTGAACCTATAAAAACAAAAACAGAAACTAAGCAAACAGCTAGAACAGAAATAGACTCACAGAAATGGAGATCACATGGAGGGTTAGTAGTGGGGAGGGAGAGGGGGGAGAATGGGGGAAAAGGTATAGGGAATAAGAAGCACAAATGGTAGGTACCAAATAGACAGGAGGAGGTTCAGAATAGTATAAGAAATGGAGAACCCAAAGAACTTATATGTACAACCCATGAACATGAACTTGTTGGGAATAAGGAAATTAAGAACTAAATTTCACCTTAGTAAACAAGAACCACACTGTAGCTAAAAGGAAATGATAAGGGAGACATAGTGCAGCTAAGCAAACATCCTGTGTCGAGCAGCTGCTCTCCCCTGGGTAGGCTAGATAAGCAAT